ATGAGATAGTATCTCATAATTATGACTTAGCTAGCTATCTCATAATTAAGAGATAGTATCTCATAATTATGACTTAGCTAGCTATCTCATAATTAAGAGATAGTATCTCATAATTATGACTTAGCTAGCTATCTCATAATTATGACTTAGCTATCTCATAATTATGAGGTAGCTAAGTCTTAATTATGAGATAGCTAAGTCATAATTATGAGATACTATCTCTTAATTATGAGATAGCTGTCATAATTGAGATAGCTAGCTAAGTCATAATTATGAGATACTATCTCATAATTATGAGATAGCTAAGTCATAATTATGAGATACTATCTCATAGTTATGAGATAGCTAAGTAGCTAAGTCATAATTATGAGATACTATCTCATAATTATGAGATAGCTAAGTCATAATTATGAGATACAAGTTTTATTTTTTTATCAGAGTGGCGGAAATGGGCTTCCATAAAAGTCGACTCTGTCTGTCTGTTAGCAAAATATCTCACAAAGCGTTGCACTGATTTTAATGAAACTTTCAGGGATTAACTGTCGGATGTTCTCTCAGCTGATTAACTTTTGGAGCTAACCCGATTCAAAGCAGCCGCCACAGACAGTTGACATTAGAAAATACAAAACTGGCTATAAATCAGTCATTTTGTCAAAGATTGAGCTAACAGTTGACGTGGTAGTAGCTGTGAGTCATTCACAACACGTACTCTGAGCGTGACATCTTGTGAAAATGCATGAGATTGGGATTATTTGACCAGAACAACCACAGCTTTAGAGGATCTTAGTTTGTCAGATGTGAACGGTGGTGAAATACTAAACATGTAATTTTAGATTTATTGTTCATTCAAGATGATTTTCACTGTAAACACTTATTATATTCATTGATTTTATTTACAGTAATTTGTTTATCTCTCTTATGTAATTCTGTGTAAATTATTATAACGACAACTTTTATTTGGGCAAAAGACAAACATTATTGCTATAATAAATTAAAGTTATGATTTTACTGTATTTTCTATTATTTACAATCAATTTGCCCAACAAAAGATGACATAATACAGTAATTTCAGTGTGTAGATCAGTTTAAATCTCTTCCTGCTGATCAGAACTGTCCCTAAGTTTGCCTCGACACGTCATTTCAAGGTTTCCTCATATTTTGAGGAAACGGTTACAGATTTTGGTGCATATTATGAAATAAGCAACAACACAGATCACTACTGAAAAACTATTTGAATCATTTCTTCCCAAGAAGCCAGATATTCTTTAAAAGTGGTCTTGAGCAATATATATATATATATATATATATATATATATATACTGTACATATATATACTGTGTATATATATACTGTGTATATATATATGCATATATATATATATGTGTGTGTGTGTGTGTATATATATATATATACTGTACATATATATACTGTGTATATATATACTGTGTATATATATATGCATATATATATATATGTGTGTGTGTGTGTGTATATATATATATATACTGTACATATATATACTGTGTATATATATACTGTGTATATATATATGCATATATATATATATGTGTGTGTGTGTATATGTGTGTGTGTGTGTGTGTGTGTGTGTCTGTGTGTGTGTGTGTGTCGGTGTGTGTGTGTGTGTGTGTGCAAATAAGTTGCTGAAAAGATCTCTTTATATGAAACGATGTGGGGAAGCAGCCAAAATCCAAACAGTTCCAAAAAGCCTGAAGAACTGCTAAATAAAAACACTTAAATAAATTAGATGTGGGTTAAAATGATCAGAAAATTAAGAAACTCTGCAACTTTATTTTAAAAGAATTCAGTTTTAATAATATATTTAGTTTTTTATATATAAATCTGTCTAATAATACTGCATTTAGGTAGCCTATTGTTCATTTTTAACATTCTGCATTCATGTGGAAGTGCACTCGTATCAAAGTCTTGTTAAAAAGCAGAATGTTGTAAAAGCACTCTTGCCGACTGGGTACAAAACAACACAGACTTCCTGTGATCATGGATAAAGTTTCATTTGTACTTTTCTTTTTCCTATAAAAGCAGAAACGGCCTGCATCTGTTGACTCTCCAGTGCTCATCGACCTGTTCCACCGACAGCCAGCAGAGGGCAGCAAAACGCCTTCAAACACTTTTTAACCTGATCAAAGTCTCCAAAGAAAAAGTTCTGAATATTTCCTCCTCAGGCGGGTCACATCGTGTCACCTTCTACCAGGTCCGCCTCGTCCCGGTCCTCTGTCTGCCCGGCAGACTCGGCAGGCCCCCGATCCTCCTTTAAGGTCTCCGCGGGCGAGTCTCGGTCCGCGTCCCGCTCCACATCCCCCCCGCTCTGCGCCGCCTCGGCCTCCATCGCTTCACAGTCTTCGTCTCCGTTTTCAGCCTCCTTCGGACCGGAATCCGCTTCCTCCTTCAGGTCGTTTAAAACCCGGTCCTCGTCCCCGTTTTCTTTGGGGACATCCGGTTCACTCGGGGACTGTTCGCTCCTCGCGGCTCCCTCCTCCTCTCCGGCTGACCTTCTGTGCTGCCTGGTGGGCGGGCGCCGTTTGAATGATAACCGTGGACGGTTCTGCGTGGGAGAAACAAGAGAAAATGTTTCTTTTCATTTTTTATTTTATTTTGTATCCTCGGATAGTTTCTGTTGACAATTCAAATCGAATCAGCGTTTGCGTGAGAAGACCTAACGGCACTCGGGGTTTTCTAACTAGGCTAAGTGGATTATGTCTTCAATCCACCGTCCTGCGCCGGTTTATCTCAGGCCTGCTTAAACCGGAGAAGCACAACAGCCAATCAGGAGCAGGTTTTCAAATGTCCAGCTATGACATCACACCTCACTAACTCACTATAAAAACCTAAAAACATATAAAACACTAAATTCATTTTCAAAGGAGCTAAAATAACCAGAAAAAATGGGTTAATTATGAAATAAAATTAACACAGGTGTGTTGTAAAGAGGAGAGCGGTTTAATTTGAATGTTTACCTTGTTGAAGCTTGGCAGCGGGGTGCCTTCGGGTGGGCTGTCGAAGCCGACGGGGTCTTCCTCTTTGCTGGACAGAGGTGGCGGTCGTTGGGAGGGGCTCAGGGGGCTGCTGGGCACGATGGGGGACAGCTGCGTGGGCTGCAGCTTCACGTCGGGACCCTTGGGCGAAGGCAGCAGAGTGCTGGGTGACAGAGCGAGGTTGGCCTGCAGGGAAGTCAACATGTGAAATAAAAATCATCGAAATGTTTCTTTTTACAAACCAATAACTAAACTGGTTTTCTTCTTCTGCGTGATGCTTCCTGCTACCTTTCTGCTCCGCTAAAAGAAACCCAGGTTCCCTTTAATATGCTCCATACACTGTGAGAGTCAAACAGCAGTAAACCCACATCAGTCCCCGACGAAAGTGGGTTCAGGTCCAAACATAAGCGTCCTACCTGCACCGGGGAGAAGAAGAAGAGGGAGAACCGGCAGCCCTTTTGCCCCATAGCTGCCCACTGTGACAACCTCCAGCTAAAGGATCTAAAGGGACAAATCTGAGCCTCAGCAGAGCCTCTGTGGCTGTGATCCAATTAGCTCTATAATCTGAGCACATTGTGCCATCAGCTGAAGCCCCGCCCCCTTTTTTCCTGCCCTGGACACATAGGTATCTCTGCAGACGAGTAGGCGTTTCCATAGGAACACTTTTTTAAAGGGACACACCTGATTGGACGAGTTTTTTTCAAAGGACACACCTGATTGGATGAGTTTTTTCAACGGACACAGCTGATTGGACGAGTTTTTTCAATGGACACAGCTGATTGGACGAGTTTTTATTCAATGGACACAGCTGATTGGACGAGTTTTTTCAATGGACACACCTGATTGGACGAGTTTTTTCAATGGACACAGCTGATTGGATGAGTTTTTTCAATGGACACACCTGATTGGACAAGTTTTTTCAATGGACACACCTGATTGGACGAGTCTTTCAATGGACACAGCTGATTGGATGAGAAAAAAAGGCGCTACTCAAGCACAACACCTGATGATCGTTGCTTAGGTGTTTCTTTTGTATCATTAGCTTACTTTTCTAGCATCAGGCTTTCATATTTATTTATTTAGTTTCACAAACTTGCTGTTGTTACCGAGGTATTCAGAAGATTTGGGATTAATAAGAGCTGGCAGATTTTGTTAACCGGCCATTATTATGTTTACATGAAGACGCCGCCAACATCGGACCCAGCATCTTCACGATTTCTGCTTCTCTTAACGAAGAAAGGTTACATTTCAAAATAAGAGCAACATCAGTCGGTCGTGTTTTTTTTTTTTTTTGAGACGTTTAGAAACAGGGAGAACTATTTCTAAATTTTGTTGCTGTGTTGTGGTTTTCTCCTTTTTTGCAGGTGTGCAGTAGGGCTGTGTATTGGCAAGAATTTGGCGATACGATACATATCATAACAGAGGGGTCACGATACGATATATCCCGATATATTGGGATACTGTAAGCAAGGCGATATATTGCGATTTTTTTGTCCAAAAATTCTATTAAATAAAAACCTCTTACTGAAAAAAAAAAAAAGAAAAGCTAATGTTTACTTACAATTCTAATGCTACCCTTACTCTCTGGTGCTCAAGAGGTAGATGAGCCAAATGGCTGGCTCACTGCTGCCAACTAGTGGTCAGAGGCTGAACTACAACATAAAAATGAACGGTTGGCAGGAAAGTTGACATTTTAAACTTTAATAAAAAAATCGATACAGGGCTTTAGAATATCGATACAGTATCGGGAAATGAAATATCGCGATATTTCAGTGTATTGATATTTTCTTACACCCCTAGTGTGCAGACAGAAGTCGGGTGTGCCGTCTTGTGTTTTCTTGGTGTGTATTTCATATATCTTCTAATCTCTCTTTCAATCTTTTTCATTATATTTCTCCTTTTTATTCTTTCATTTTCTTCTTTTTTGTAGTACCGGTATTTTATTTATTTTTTTAAAAAGGTCACTGATGATGAGGAAACTAATATTCAGTTCTGTTTTCTATTGGAGTGGCTAGAAAAAAATGTTTGTTTTTAATGATAAATTGTGATTTCATAATAAAGTTTTGGCTCCTAAAAGTAATGTGAAAGTAGTTAAAAAACAAATCAAAGAGAAGAACCAACTTTTTTTGAAAAACAGAGCAAAAACATCTAGCCAATCAGTGTTTACGCTTGAGAAACACCTACTTTGTGTCTGCAGAGAACCCCTTCTGGATGAGAGCAGCAGGGCTGTAAATATCTAAATATCTCTTGTTTACTGACTACACAAGTATATGACTATATAGTAAACTTTTCAAGTACACGGTGTACTACTAACCTGCAACTTTTCAATCATCGCTGAGTTCTTCATCTTTGTTTTGTTGATGCTGGGTGAGACTGATTTCTGCCCAAAAACACAAAAAGTAAATTAGCAAAATCATATCATTTCACATTTTACAACACATTTAATAAATTATGTAATTTATCAATAATATTTAAAACAAATTGAATAAAAAAAATTATCATTTCTAATGAATATGCGTAGTAAGAATACTGTTTAATGTAACAATGGAAAGACAGACAATGTTCTACTTGTTCAGGCCAAAAAAAACTGATAAAAATGACATGTTTGGCACAAATTCTGATAAATCTGTTTACTGAAGTATCTCCTGACTCAACACAGGAAACAAACTCACATCAGACTCTTCATTTTCTGCTGGATTGTGCAACTTTAAGGAACACGGAGGTCTTCTTCGAAACTACAAAATAAACGAAGGAAAAGACGATTTGTATTTGGCAGCAAGTTTAAAACAAATACTACAAGCAAATTTAAGAAACAAACATTATGAATAGATATAAAATATAGTTGAGGGCATAAAATACCTCATCATTTGAGCCGGGCAATGGCAGAATATGACCTTTTAACCTTCCAGCAAGCTCAGCCACAGATGGCTTGGATGGAGAATCCTGGAAAAAAAAGACAATTTAATTAGTTTATTTTTAAAAAGGGTTAAAAGTAAGCAGTATAATGATAAAAGATAAAAAAGATCCTAACAATATTAAGTTTAGTAGTAAATCAACTAGTTTGACATTTAAAATGTAAGTTTTGTTGCCTTAACCCACTGAAGAAAAAAAAACTTTTTTTAAAGTAAAAGTACCGAAAGCAGAGGAACAGTAGCGTAATTCTTTAAGACAACAATGTTTCACTTCCTTCCCTTCTTCGAGAAAACGCAGACAAGTCGAGACACCGAGGGGAGGAAGGCTTTGCGAGCCGACAGGCTTCACAGGCGTCTCTGTGGTCCTTTGAGGAACTCGCATGAAGAGGACAGGAAGTGAGCCCCTCTCGCTGCAGCTGGTCAGCATCACGCTGCAGCCCGTGACAGCAGCGACCCGGGCCTTCTTATCACGACTTGGCTCCTTTTACTTTCTGTGGCTCCCAGGGTTCCCATGCTGATTTCAGCTCTGCCTCCTCCACACTTCCCTTTGAGGAGCAGGAACTGGGTCCACATATCTGGTGATGGGTGGGCGTCAGACTGGAATGTTGGATCATAAGCCTCGAAAACGTTTAAGCCCGGTCCACATGGGAATGTTTTTTGTAAATACACAAAAGGTTTTTATTGTTTCAGCCTTACTTGCGCACAGAAATGGGGTCTTAGGAGGCCCTAAACCAGGGGTATTCAACTGGCGGCCCCCCGCCGGTGACTTCCATTTGGCCCACCAATGACCCCCGCTTTATTTAATATAAAAACTGATTTTAAATCAATTATACATTATTTTTAAATCTATGATTCAATGCAATAAAATAAACAGACTGAAGCCCCAAAAATTTGCATTTCACAATTTGCAGACTCAGACTTTTCACAGATTATTTTTTCGTAGAACCTAACTATTTATAATTTGTGTTAATCGTGATTTTGTTTCATTCCTCCTTTCTTATAAGTTTTCAGTCTAAATTATAAAAAAATAATACAGTTTACTCAGTCTGTAACTTAAATATTCTCGTTTTTTTTCACAATTTGTGATCGATTATAAGATTTCCACTTTTGTCGTACTTAATAAATAGGTTTTTAGATTTTTTTGTTTATCTTTTGTAATTTGTTGTGTCATTTACTAAAATGTTAAATTAATCTGTACTTAGTTTTCAGTGCATATATGCTTTAAAAATGGCTGTTTAAACAATTTAAAAAATTGTGATCATTTATGAAAAGAAAAATATTGTGATAATTTACTTTTGATATACCGCCCAGCCCTAAGAATGTAAAACTTGTGTTTCCCCTACTGTTATCAGTGTTAGCTTGGTTTATTCCCTCTGTCTCCATCTTTCAGCTCACTTTTCCATTGCACTTTATCTGAACACTAAAAAGCTCCATCCTCGCCTCAAAGCTGCCACACACACACACAAACTTGTTTTTATATCCTTGTGGGGCCCACCCATTGACTTCCATTCATTTTTTTGGTAATTTTATATCCTAACCCTGACCACCAACCCTAAAGCTAACCTCACTCAATTCACACCTTGGTCCTAAACCCAACCCTCACATCCAAAATCAGCCTCCGAAGTTGCGGGGACCAAAGCCTGGCGAGGCTTCACTCCTCATTTTGGATCATTGCCGATGAAAACACAGATTTCCCGGGCGTCACAGACACACATTCCTTATGTTAATCACACACTTTATTTTCTTTTTATCCTTTCTTGTTCCCAACATGATCTCACCTCTTTGCCTCCACCCCCCCCTTGTCTGAACCAGCACAACAACCTGCTTCCTGAACTCTCCTTTCTTACACTTGATAAACAGTAATTACCAGGCACCTCCTCCTACACACACACACACACACACACACACACACACACACACCCCAAAACACCATTATTTTCTACGTTCTAATTGTTAACTCCTTCCTGTGTGTGAAAAGCGTACGTCTCCTTCAGAGCAAATTCAACTCCAAATCGTGCAAAGCGAAGGAAGCTGGGCTCTTTGTCTGAGTCGGTGCTCAGATGTTTTGAGGAAGAAATGTTTTTCTCATTTCTGTGTGCAGAAAACAACATGAGCGACAGTAAATTCAGAACACTCCCTGCTGAAAACATCCTGGTTTATAAATGCTTTTGTAGCCGTATACCAGCTTGAACGCCTGCTTGGGATAATTACACCCCAAAATGTGAGAATATTTTCCCAAAACCTCCTGACAGGAACACAGGATTCATCTTTAGCTCATGGCTGGAGAAATGCTCTGTGTTTTTCCTTAAAAACACCTGAGCATTATGTTCTTCTGATTCAGTCTGCAGACGCTGTAGAGCAATGTGTCAAAAAAGGCCCCTCGCCAAAAGTCGCCCCTCCAAAAAATATATATAGATTTTTTTAACTTAATTAAAAATGAAAATAGTTTTTATATCAATGGTAAACGTTAAATTCATGGTTCATAATAAACATTTAAAAGGTGAAAGATAACTTGTCCTGCCCCTGAGCTGTTGGCTTTGAGGAACTGTGGCCCCCCTGAACTCAACACTGAGTAAAACTCTTTGTCTTTTACTTAAATAGTATTTCTGTATTATTTATTTCACAGTCAGTCGTACACGTAGTACTTTTCAGTGTTTATATGAGGATGTGTTAAAACACTGTTTCTATGCATGAAATACCACGTAGAGCTCGGTTAATGTTTCTTAGCGGCGTTCAGACTAGCAATGAGATGAGGAACGTAACGTTTGGTGTTTGATAAAAGTGAAGCATGAAACTTGAAAGTTAAAGCGGCAATGTCATGTAAAATCAATTTTTTTTTAGTTTTGTATCATGTTATAATGTTATACTCTCATAAAAAAACATGTCCAAAGCCTTGCTCTGACTCATTCATGCATGTTTGAGAAATCCTGCAGTGTTTTTAAGAAGCCATGCTGAGGAGCAAAGCGACAGGTGGGGACCAGAAACACCTTTTGGTACCAGAAACGCCCCTGGGACGTGTCCTTAAGCCGAGCTTCCTCATCACAGAACACACCTCCCCACCCCCCACCTCACACACCCCGCCCATGACTCCTCCAGGCCCTCGGTGAAAGTGAAAGTGAAACTTAACTGTCTGCTGAGCTCTCAACATTAGTTCTCACTCAGTGAAGCTCTTTTCAGATTCAAAATACCTTTGAG